CAGAGAAAATGGTAGCATATAATAAAGCAAACAGACAGATTGCTATTTTATGTAACCATAAACATTCCATCAGCAAGACTCATATAAAAACCACCAAATTGTCAGAACAAGATGAAGAAGACAATACAATAATTGCACTGGGTACATCAAAAATGAATTACATAGACCCACGCATCACCGTAGCCTGGAGCAAAAAATACCAAATCCCAATTGAAAAGGTTTTTAACAAAAGCCTCTGGGAGAAATTCCAATGGGCATCAGACGTTGATGCAGATTGGGTGAGTATTTTTTTTTTAATTAATTTTATTAAATAATAACATACTTAAATTTATTTTTATTATTTTATAGGAATTTTAGGAATTTTATATTTGGAAATTTTATTATATTAATTTTACAAAATTTTATTTTTTTTTTTAAAATAAACTTATATTTCAGTATTATGTGTGAATAATTTTATATATGCCAGATATTTACTAAGAATGAATCAGTGAGTGCTTCAAGAATAGAGGCCTGTACAGGTCATCATAATTGAATGATTACTCAACCCAAACCCAACTTGTACATAAAAATTATAAAAATCTCAACCCAAACCTGACTTATACAAAAAATTATAAAAATCTCAACCCAAAACTGACTTGTACACAAAAAATTTCAATTAACAATGTTGTAACACAATTGCATCATCACCTGGGTAGCACAAGGCCATGCCAGATCACAATTTTCCTTATGAATAATAAATCTGATGTTGATCACAGGCATCAGATTCAATTAAAATCCCTGTCACAAACGGGTGCTTCACACCATCTCATCCCTATGGAATTTTTTCCACAGGTGAGACACTTACAAGTTGGAAGGCTTTGGACAAACATTCCCTTATCTTTCTCTCAGACCATGCTTGGCATTGATCACTGATAGCTGGTACTTGTGTGATGATTGCTTTGTGTTATCCCGATCTATAGAACAAAGTTGGTGTCTGCAACTGATTCAAAATACTCCAACTCGGGAGGTTGCAACCTGGGTGGTTGTATTGGATTTTAAATACAATTTCAGTTGGTCAAACAAAAATTAAACAGAAAATTTGTTAAAATGATTAATTTTTACATAACATATCAAACAAAATTTATTTTACAGCTTTCTCCTTGATGCCAATGATCATGATGACCATCACAATGGGAGTGGGCAGAGTTGAACTGCCATCTTTATACTTGTAAGAACATGCTCTGATTGAGTTGCACTCTTTTATTAACCTAGGTTGAGTTGTATAGGCAAAGAGCCCATTTAAAAAAATATCAAGTTCAATTGGTCAAATAAAAATTGAAGAAACAGAAAATTTGGGAAAGTAACTAATATATATATAACATACCAAAAAAAAATCTAACCATTTTATTTAAAGCCTTCCTCCTAACATCAGAAACTAAATGTGATTTCAGGGCCACCGACCTGGCTCTGAATTGCAATCTCATGTTCTTGGAACAAATTGCTGATTCTTGTTGTATTGATGGATCTGGATGTTTATTAGTGTTGGTTTCCAAAACTCGAGAGTTTCGCAACCGTGCGAAAGTCAAAAGGTTTCGCCATAAGTCGAAACTAGTTTTGATTTTTGACTATTGACTTTTGATTTAGTTTTGACATATAACTTTTAATTTTAGTTTTGACTTTCACCTCTCAAAATAGTTTTGGCGACCAACACTAATGTTTATGCACACCCAATATCACAACTCTTCAAAGCACGACTTGGTTGCAGAGCCATCCTTACCCTAGAGGTAGGATTGATGCAGGTGACTTTTTTGCCAGCATGCCAGCAGCCTTCTCTGGTCTGGTGCTGTGAAAGAAGATTAGTGAAAGCATCCTTGGCAGTCTTGGTAAACTCCAGGGCCATGCTACCCCAGAATTCTATTGCATCATTGTATCATCGGTAGGGCGCAAGTCAGATTTAGCCTTATGTACATGAGCATCTGCTAATTTCCAATAATCAAACATCGCATACTTGAATTGTTTCTTCTGCAACAATCAGTCATACTGCCTTGACATCTTGTAATTAATTATAATAATAATAGCATTAATAACAATTACAAAAAGCAAAGTACCAATCATTTGTTTACTAATCGGTGGGAATCTTATAATTATCCAGAAAGATCTGCTCCACGTTTCAATTCCAATTAAAATATTTATAAACTAAAAGACATATCAATGCAAGTAAAAAATAGCACCACTGGTTAGTTTTTAGCACTTCTTCTTTAGGAGAACCATGTTTTGTCTGTCAAAAAATAAGATTGTTTTTCCAAGAAAAAAAAACCAATTTGCATAGTGGGAGTTTGTCATTGCACAAAATTTTATACAGAACCCATTGCTCCTAAAACTTCACCAGTATATAGTTGTTGCCTCTCTAAATTGGAGGTCAAGTTCAGATCCAATTCAAATCCAGTTCATCACTTACTTTTTATTGCCAGAATGTTTGCTAGTATTGTAAAGTTACATTGCACAATATAAAAAATAGTGTAACCTTTCAAATTTCCACTATGCTGTCAAAAAAAATCTTGTGCAACACCAAGTGCCAATAATAATATTATTAATATTATTTGGCTTAACATGTTTTAAAAATTTTTTTTTCAAATTAAAAAATGTCTTCAAAGTATCAAAAGTGAAAAGAAAATCAAGGAGTGGCTGAGGATCAAGGGTAAGTGTTTATCATAAGAATGGCGGTGGTGGTTGCAATGCATTGCAACTCATCATCACTCTAGTTGGTTATCATAAGGATGGTAATGCGTTGCAACTCATCATTCTAAATTCCAACTTAAAAAAAAATTTTTCTTCAATAGAAATAGAAGGACAACCATAAGCAAATCACACACTCTTTAGTATATGGTATCTTATTGTTTTCTTAAAAATGAATTTTGATTTTTAATTTATTTCTTTTTTTTATAAAGAATATTTTCGAAGCGTTCAAATTATCCGTATGCAGTGAATTCAATTTAAATTTGAGAAACATTGATCATGAAATAAGAGAGAAGGCGATTAATTTATTAAAAATTTTATCGAGGAAATAAAGGATAACAATAATGAAGTAAATTATAAATTTTTTTTTGTTTATCAATTTATTCATATTTTATGTGTATGTATATGTATATTGTATTCATATATGTATACATAATTTAAATAGAATGATTCATTTTATAAATAAATATATTTATTTATAAATACTACTTTCATATATTTATTTCTTTCATATTACAGATAAATACCTCATCTTCACATTCACCATCACCATCACATTCACCATCACCATCTCCTCCACTTCCACCCTCATCATAACCACTGTAACAACTGACAACTCCCTTCCAGCAACTCATCATAAATATAATCTGCAAAAAAAAAGTCCATAAACTATGATATTGATCCATTACCAAAGAAACGTCACAAAAATAACATAAGTATAAACTGAAACATTAATATTAATAATGGTAGATATTAATTTTTTTACTTATATTTATAGGAATCATTACCATCATCACCATCACCATCATCACCACCATTACCATCATTACCTGAAGAACATGAGGTATGAATAGTATAAAATATAATTATATTTTAAGATAAAATATTAATTGTTTTTTGTTTTTATATATAGGAAATGAAATTTGCGAAATATATAATCCATTGCCCATAAAAAACTATAATATAATTTTTATATTTCTCTTTGCTCATAAATAAAGTTAATAATTAATATGTAAATTATCATTCAAATCATATTACATATATAAATTTTTTGATCCCTGAAATCCTTGGTAATGCAAATGTTCACTTTGTCTGGTTTGTTGCAGCATGCCCCATATAATATATGTTTTCTTGGTAATTAACAATTAACAATGTCATTTTGAGCCCAATCAAGAGAAAATTTGAGAAGTATAAAGCTTTCAACAATATAACTTAATTTTTTTGCATTGGCTGTTCAAAAACTCTTGTGTGTAAAGTTTTCTATGTAAATTTCTCTTTTTTACTATGAAACGAATGACATTTTTTAATTTAGGAGTGGAGACAGTTTTGGAATTGGAAGATCTGCAAATATCTATATGTGTAACATTGAGTTGTCTCCCCCATATATTTACTTACCCCTAGGTAGTATTAAATCATCTATAGGACTCTTTATGTCAGGATGTGGTACATCAGAAATTGGAATAGATTCACTTGCTGGGATGGGGTTAAGTTCCACCTACCAAACAGTGTTTAATAGAATGAACAATATAATAAAAAAATCATAATTCATCAGTGGAAAACTATATTAAACAAAATGTATATGGTTGACTTGGTCTAAAGACCTCCTATTTCTGCGCCATGTGGCCAAATTTCAAAAATAGCAATTTTGTAATTTGTTCAAAAATGCAATAAAAATTTTCAAAAATAGGACTTCACGTGATTTTGGGTTTAAAAATTTATTTCGTACTGCCAAATTTAGATATGATGGTCATATATTAGTCTAAATTTAGAAATGATTTTTGTAGTTTGGTCTAAATTTAGTAATGATCCTAGCAGCAAATTTCTCTTGAACATAGTAAAGTACAGTCACGTCACAAAGTAACACCCGATTTTCCTGTGTAATGATGATACAATGCATTTATACAGCCCGTTTCTTCCCCTTTTTTGTATAACTTTTCTCATCTTAAACATATCTATTGCCATATCAGCATGCAGTTTGTGAGTTGACAGGAGGTTCTGTGGTTTATCAACAGGGCAACGCACCGATCCATACTTCAAAAGCAACCAAGGAATAGCTAAGGACTAATAAAATTGCAACTATTGACTGGCCGGCAAATTCGCCAGACCTGAACCTGATAGAGAACATTTGGAAGTTGTTAAAGATAATATCCAAAAGCATGAAGACTTTCCGAGAACTGTGAACGAACTTAAAATTGCATTGAGAGAGGAGTGGGAAAATTTGGATCGCTCTATTTTCGAGGAGGTTGTTACCTCAATACCAAAAAGAATCGATGCGGTATTAAGAGCAAATGGTGGGCCGACAAAGTATTAGTTAGATATTAATTTTTTTTTTATGTATAAATTGCTAAAAAATAAAAAAAATCAATAAATATCTTTATTTTCGGTTTCAATTTTGAATCGGGCATTACTTTGTGATGTGACTGTACATGTTCTAAAAAAGAATAGAACTCTACAACAAATAATTTTTTTGAGAATATCTCATTATTACATTAAAACTAAAGACCTATTCTATCAACTAATAATGTTATTTTTTTAAAAGATAGGACAGAAAGTGACTTCTATACTTATAAAATTTATGCAAAACTTAGGAGGTCTTTAGACCGAGCCAACTATATAAAAATTAATAATATATGGTGCAGGACCTCTTAAACCACCAATTTTGCATGTGATTTTTAAAAGAATAGAAGTTCATTTCTGTATATTATTTTTAAAAAA